TGTGTGTGTGTTTATGTTTGTGTGCATGTATGCATTTGTGTGTGTGTGTGTGTGTGTGTGTTTTTGTGTGCATGTATGCATTTGTGTGTGTATGTGTGTGTTTGTGTGCATGTATGCATTTGTGTGTATGTTTTTGTGTGTGTGTTTATGTTTGTGTGCATGTATGCATTTGTGTGTGTGTGTGCTTGTGCATGTGTGTGTATATGCAAATGATTTTTTCTTTATGTTTTATATGATGATGAAGGTGTGTGTGCGTGTGTGTGTGTGTGACGCGTGTGCTTTTGCACTGCAGCATCACACCTCTGCAGATGTGCAGCATGTGGGATTGATTCAGAGTTTGCAGCGCAGCATCACACATGTTTACAGCTGCAGGATGAAGGATGCACATGAGGACTGCTCCACATATCCTTCATCACGTGGTCTATTAAAGGCGTTTCATATGCAGAAGCGTTTGTGTGTCACAGATAGAGGAGTTGTTGACAGTGTTTCCTCTAATCTCTGTTCTTCTGGAGAAAGTCTGATGTGTTTTATTTGGGCTAGAATAAAAGCAGTTATTAATGTTTAAACACATGTTAAGCTCAATATTATTCACCCCTTCAGCAATATTAGTGTTGGATTGTCTCCAGAACAAACCACTGTTATACATTGACTTGCCTAATTACCCTAACTTTACCCTGATTACCCTAGTGAAGCCTTTACATGCCACTGTAAGCTGAACACTAGTGTCTTGAAGAAGATCTAGTCTAATATGATGTGCTGTCATCATGGAGAAGAGGAACACATCAGTGATTAGAGATGCCGGAGCATCATGCAACTGGAGCTGCACAGTGGGGGTGGTGGTGTGGAGACCCCCCCTCATGACTGTGAAGCACTACGACCATAAACACTGCAGGTGGCCATAGTTACAGTGTTTTAATCTAGAGTAATCTCACTGTAATATTGGAATAATCTAGATTAAATGGCTGATTTGAATTCTGTCGAAGGTGTTCAGAACATGTGTGCTGCCCAATAATGACTGATAGAGAGCCGCTTTCTCCAGCCAGAGCAGGGGCTCATCTCCTGTTCCCACAACGCATCACACACTGCTGCAGGAGCTGCTCCACTGTGATCATGCAAATGAATGATGTTCAATAGGATGTGCTCGTTCACTCCAGTGGGTGAATAAACTTGTGTAGAGAAACAGATCTGCATAAACACCAACAGGAAACAGAGCCGGTGCGGTGTGAAGGAAACATCACTGAACAGAGTAACCTCAGCCAACAATGTCTGACACAGGTCTGCATGTGTGTACGATATAATGGACGACAATCTGACAGCAGAGACGATCTCAAACATTAATCGTGTGTGTGTGTGTGTGTGTGTGTGTGTGTGTGTGTGTGTGTGTGTGGTGTGTGTGTGTGTAAGTGTGTGTGTAAGTGTGTGTGTGTGAGTGTGTGTGTGTGTGTGTGAGTGAGTGTGTAAGTGTGTGTGTGTGTGTGTGTGTGTAAGTGTGTGTGTGTGAGTGTATTTAAAGCA